TGAACAGATGCAGAAGTTAATATGCTTCTTTGGGTCTCCCAAAGAGTGAATGTGGCCAGCGGGAGGGGAGAGGCAGGGAGGAGATGTGGAGCTGGGTTGGGGGTTTGGCAAAATGTTTTCCTAAGAATTAAAGATATATTTGTTGGACCGTGGAGAGGCTCCATCAACCCCACTGAAGCATCCTAAGACAAACACCCACCTGAAGTCCCAATGCTGCCCCTCTCCTCAGTGCAAACCACTTCACATGGATGTCCCTGTCTCCCGCCTGAACAGCAGGGTGCCAGCAAGTTAATTTCCATTTTCTATCTCTCTCAGCATTTAGCCAAGTGCAATACAATCAGAAAGCAAGGAAGAAATAAAGCAAATTCATAAAACAGATAACTTACACAGTAACAGGTATGATGTAAAAGAATCCCCCACTTCCAGAAAGATTCACTGAAAAGTTCTTTAGGGAACAAGCTGCCTAACAGTATTGGGACATAAGATAGATTTATGAAAAGACCTGCTAGCCCCCAACCTTCCCAGGAAGGAGTCGACCATGAAAGCTGTGGGAGGCTGGGCTGAACTGACCACCCTTGCTGTCAAGGTCCTTGCCCTCACGGAGCACAGCAAAACAAAGAACTCAAAAGCAGTTGCATTGTGAAGAAACCCCTCTCCCTGTAAGGAATCCAGATACAGACAAAGCTTCCAACTGAACTGAAGTCAGTTGGGCCCAAGGGTTTAGCAATAGCCCAGAGGCCCAAGAGTAGAGAGAGATTCGGCCTTGGATCAGACAGGGCTAGAGCCCAAGCAGAGGGAAGGTGCTGGGCCCTCACCTCGGGTATCAGCCGCCTCCTCTTCACGCTGGGGACAGAATCTGGCTGGCCCTCGCCGCCTGGCTGCTTTCGTTTGCTGGAGTCCTGGAGGGCAGCAAAGACGCTGTCCAGAGGGTGCTTCTCTGAAGGCTTGGAATTCAGTGAGCAGTCCAGGGCAGCATCTTCAGCCTCCGTCTCCACCTTCACAGTGTTATTTTTTAGAACTGTGCAGAGAAGAAATAGGACTTAGGGCCACTGAGAGATCGGCAGGGTTCTCTGAGCCACAGTTGTTTGAGGATCACCCCCTGACACTGTCACTCAGAGAATAACATCTATCTAGTCATAAACCTGTGCTTTCCAGCAAAGTGATCTCTATCTTACTAAACTAGTGCTACACAACCAAACCATGTTCTAAGTTCAAAATTAGTCTATAAGTCTTTTGGGGGGAGAGGTGGGATATGGAGAGAACTAAATATTAACTGTATTGCACTTTTAAAAAATACATAAGAAACTTATAACAAGTGTTGAGTAGAGGGGGATGGGAACAGGCAGTAGGAGACTTTACATTATATTCCCTTCTACATTTTTAGAGTATGTAATATATGACCTATTCAAAATTATTAAATGAGAAACGTTTATTTACCTTCTTCTACATCTTCACCGAATTCAGCTGAGTTCATCTTCTATTCCACTAAATGAAAACACAAACACAAAGCCTTCATTTATTGCTTGACTTGCTTATTAATATTCCCTATCCACAGAAATTCCCTTGCCCCAGCTCTGTGCAGTAGGAGGTTAAAGGTCATGAAGCACTGTGCAAGAGCCAGCCTCCTAATCTTGTCTGCAGATGCTCAGGAGCAGTCAGGCCTGGCCGGCAGGAAGCCTCTCTCCAAGACTTCACGTGGGCGGAACCTGTCGTCAAGCATCCATTGAAAGCCACTTAGTGAACCAGGGGAACATTACTTGAGCAAATTAAATCTTGCAAAAGACCCCAATTTAGATGATCACCTTTTAGCCCCTGCTTATAAAACCCTAGCCATGACATGAAAGAAGAGAGACTGTGGGCCCCAACATGTGGAGCTGAGGTCTCAGCACTTAGGTAGCCAAGAGATCTATGGTGCCCATGAAGACAGCCACTAGATACATGTGACTACTGAGGACTCTAAATGTGGCCAGCCCAAATGGAGACATGCGCCAGGTGTGACATACATACCATATTTCAGATTTAGATTAGTTTTAAAAAAAAAAAAAGTAAAACACCTCATTCATAACCATTTTACATTGGCCACATTGAAATGATATTATTTGATATTTATTACTTGATGGGCTACCAAAAAAAAAAAAACTGTATTAAAATTCAAGGCCAGTCTGGACCTTTAGTGAGACTGTGTCTCCAAAAAAGGAAAAGGCTGGGGAAAAGGGGCAGAATGTAAAGCCATGAGCCATGGGTTAGATCCTTTATACTACAAAACAAAAAAACACCTCACCTAATCTTTAAACATGGCTATAAGAAACTTAAAACTACATATGGGGTCCCCTTATATTTTTACTGGATGATGCTAGCCTAGCCCTTCCTTCCACAACAGGGACAGAAAGGCACTGAGGGTTTTTCAGAACTCTATTATAGACAATCAGGTTCAAAAGATCAGGTGAGGGCAAGAGGCAGGATGTGTGTGGGGTGCCCTGTCTAAGCAGAGCCAGCCCTGACTCCCACTGCCCCAGGCAGGATGGAACTAACAACATCATTAAGTATAAGGTACAAATGAGTTACCAACATTTGGGAAAGAAAGGTACATGGCAACCTTTAATATTGACATTGGGGAGTTGTTGTTGAACAACTGATTAAGGTGACTGCAAACACAGAGTTCTCGTTTGGGTAAAAGATAGAAGGAAATAGGACCAAGGAATATCCCTTGAGACTTTTTTGTAAGAGGGATGCCAACTACATCATCCAGTAAACCATTCAAGGGAGAGTCATGGAATGGTGTATGTTCAATATATTGTCCTGTTTAATAGGGCAGGATGCAGGGGACAACAGAGACTGTATCTAGGTGACCTATGTAAATAGTAATATCTTCAAAAGTCACACATATGTAGTGCCTATTAGGTGAAGCCCTGTTCTCAGAGGATCACAATAACCCTCTGAGTTAGACACGATTCTTTTCATCCCTGTATTACTAACTTTCAGAGGCTAAAAAAGAAAATAAGATGTATTTGAAATTTAAAATAATCTCCTACCTGAAAAAAAAATGGATATACAAAGTGATATTGAAGGAAAACAAAAAGTCAACTTCAAGGGTTCATCAATTATTTTACCAGCAGTCAAGCTTTAGTGACTCATTCCATTGTATTTCAAGATATAAACCTTGCATCTGATTCTGGGTGTCTCTGAGTGGACCAGAGGGCAGCTAATGCCAGGCAGAAACTCAGAACCGACTCCTGGCCCAGCCTGAGGGCCTAGCAGGCAAAACACTTGAGGCCAGCCCAGTGCCCTGAGCTTGCCAAACGCCCTTGCAAACTCTGCCACACAGTCACATAACCTGTTGCCTCCAATCAAGGGCAGGGGTGAGAAGCAGCAGAACAGATGGGGAGGAGTGAGTGAGGCAGGTGCACTACATACAAACTACATTCTTGACAGAAAAGGGAGAACACGGCTGATAGTTTATTTGAGGGAAAACAGGTAAAAATACTGCAAAGACTCTGGCTAAGCAGAAAAGCATTGAAAGGCCAGGCGAACCCTAGAAAACAGGAGTGGATGAAAGAGCACAGCAGACAAGCCCAGGAGCCGAGGGCGCTCTATTCATCTGTCATTACACTTGCCCACCCACGTTTCTCTGATGCCAGTCACATACAGAGCAGTGTGCAGCCGGGAGGCAGGTGCTGGGTGGAGTCTATGCAATGGGACTTGGTGAGCAGGAAGCTATATTCTGAACCACCACCAGATGACATTACACCAGGCAATTTGGCACCTTTCAATTGTGAACCCTCCTGAAACTGACAAAGAAAGAGCAGACATGTGAGCCACCTGTAGGTGGGAGAAGAGCTGTGGGGGAGCTAGGAAGGGTTAGGGATGAGGTGAGAGGAAGGGGCTGCGGGCTGCCTGGGCTTCCGAGACACCCAGAGTGCATCTGCTTTGGAACACATTTCTGTGTTCTTTTGTCAACTAGTGGCAGATGCTAGGTTAGCACAGAAATAACCCAGAACACAGGCAGATAGCCACGCGCTTGGGAGGGTGGGGAGTCTCCCAATTGCAGGGCCTGGAAAACCTGCAGCTGCCTCTGGCTGCTGTGGGGAGGAGTGAGTCAGGGTCCTCTTTAACATCCCGGCCCACGAGCTGCATGCCCAGCACCAAGCCCCAGTGGCCACTGTGCCTCCGCCTCTTCCTGAGCTATTTTAATCCCACCTTCACCAATCAAGAAACTCGCTGTGTCATTCGGCAACTGAGTGGCAGAACCAGGGTTCAAAGCGAGTCTGTCTGTACCTCCCCTCAGCCAGTTGGAGAAGGAAACAGAGTTCTCATTCTTCTTCTGGTAAGGTGCTTTCGATGAACACAGGGCCCGCTTCCAGACTCGGGTCGCTTAGTCCAGCAGCAGCTGGGGACACATGAGTCTCCTTTCACAAGGAAGCTACCTGGAAAGTCAGTCTGCTTGGGGGCTGGGAGACAGACTCCACCCCACAGTGCAGGAAAGTTTCTGCAGCAGGGCACGCAGGTCACTCCCTGCATCCCTGAACAGAGACAGCTCAGCAACAATGTTGCAGCTGGGTAGAAAGGAGCTGAGTATTGCCTAGTGACCTCCATTTGCTGGTCACCTGCTCAGTGGAGGGTCACAAGCTCTGCTCTTCGTGGGTGGACACGGAGCACCCAGATGCCTGGCATGCCACAGACATTCCTTTTGATTGCATAACTGCAGGTTGTGCAGGAGCCACGCAGCGAGCAGCCTCTGCAGCTCAGCTTCGCTGCTCCTGCAGTGCCAGGTTGCTGCCATTAGTCACCTGTGCTTGTGGACTGTGTGGAATCTCTTGTCCCAGCATTCTCTCCTTTGCAAAACCTTATGCTTCTAAGCACAAATCTCAAATTGTGGGGCACTCTGACCATGCACATCCCCCCAAATCAGTTTCCTACCTGAGGGGTGGCTGTTCCATATCCCTCAAAAAACTCTGCACAAGCCAAGGGAAGAGTTAAATGAATGGAGGAGGAGAGGAGAATCACCAAGACCTATGCAGCTAGCAGCTGTTTCTTGTTAAAATGCCACAGGTTGCAAGATGCTGTTAACTCTCAAACAGCACCAGCCTTCTCCGGTGCCTTATTTAGTTAATGAAAATGCTCCCACTCCCGCTCCCCCATAGGAGCTGGGGATTGAACCCAGGCCATGCACATGCTAGGCAAGTGCTCAAGCACTGATCTACACTCCTCGGGGCCTCCCTGCTTTTTAAAACAAATAGCCTAGAAAGAAGCCTTAGGTAAGGTGACTGTGGATAACACAGAAAGGTTCAAAATGTTGCAGAGCTCAGAGAAGTAATTTCATTAAAATGTCTTCTAGTCTCCATCCTACATGGAGTGAGAACGGCAAACCTTAATCTTCCATTTAGGGTGTGTGGTTGGGGAAGATTAGTAGGTCAGCAGGAAAGCTTTCAGTTTACAAAAAGCACCAAGGGAGGGTAATTCCAAATGTTCAGAAATAACAGGATGCTTTAGCCACTCAAATATCAAATTACAACCACAAGGTGTTTAAATTGGCTACATAGATACAGTAACTTGCAGGGCTTGTGGTAACCCTGTGTCTCATGCTAGAACAGGGATGAATCTGAACCCTGCCCATCAACAGGCACCTGGCTTGGGGTTGGTAGGGAAGCTGAGGGGGGAGAACTGTGAATGTAACACTTAGAACAAACCATGCCACAAAGAAATAAAAACCCCAAACAGTTACAGATTATAGGACATGTTGCACTTTTAGAGTTCATCTTAAAAGGAAGATACTTAAAGTATTATTTTTCTTTGTAAATATTCTTTGTACATATTCAGGTACAATATGTTAAGTTGAACAAAATTCAAAAGGATGTTGAGTTTAAAAGTGCCCTGTAGGGCTGGGGATGTGGCTCAAGCGGTAGCACGCTCTCCTGGCATGCGTGCGGCCCGGGTTCGATCCTCAGCACCACATACCAACAAAGATGTTGTGTCCACCGAGAACTAAAAAATAAATATTAAAAATTCTCT